TAGAGGGGATTGCACGAAATTTAGATAATTTGACCAAAATTGATCAAGCTTATAAATATATTTCATATGATTTTGATGATGAGATGACGGCTGCAGATTGCCATGGAGTAAACTTCCGTCAAAGTAGTTCCTTCCAACAATCCATACTAACTAGCCAATTTGCTAGCCAGATTTTTATATACTGAAAAAAACAGATATATACAAAATAAATATGAAAAAAATTGATGTGTATACAGGGACCAAGAAATCTAGATAATTTGACCAAAGTTGATGGTATTTAGAGATAGATTTTACATTATTTGATAATAAAATGGTGGGGTTGTAGAGCTATGGGGTAAACTTCCGTCTTCTAGAGTATAGACAAATGAAGAGGTGCAGCTATGGTGTACTGCAGGCACAGTGCATCAGAAAGACATAGTACTTGGGTTCAGATTCTGCCAGTAGTATCACATCTTTGAGACTTTGTTAATAGGATTAGGGTAATATCAATATCAATTACCAAACTATATAATAGACCTCATGTGTAAAGAAAGACTGGAGCTCACATTGTGAGAACTGAAATGGCTCCAGTCTCGTTTTTATAAATAAAAGACTTGAACAATACCAGGTACTGTTATCGGTGTATGGCGACTGATCTCATTTCATTAGCATGGTTTAAAGTTTATACATAATAGGGATATTTATGTCTTTGGCATATGTATACTTGACTTCTTTTCATGCATGTTAGCACATCTACTTTTGTATGATTGTGTGTCTACTTTGTGATTTTTAATGCATGTACATCTACATACCTACATATTTCATTAATGCAAAAGGACAGTGTGGTGTTCATTTTGGGAAAGGCTAAAGGGACGCCATTGGAAGAACACTGGAAAAACCGACGGGACACCATCAGAGAGGTCAAGGAAGAACCAGTGTAAGAGCCAAGGGAGTGGCATTAGAAGCTAAGCTAGTGCCAGTGGAAGGTCCGCGAGAGTGCCACCGGAAGGACAGAAGGAGTACCACCGGAAGGACCAAGGGAATACCAGTGAAAGGTCCCATGGAGTACCATTGGACGGACCAAGGGAGAACCAGTGACAGGGCTGGGAGAGTACCCACAGAGGAACCGAAAGGAAACCATTAGCATAGCTGAGGGAGCACTCGTGGAAGGGTCGAATGGATACCAATGGAAGGGCCAAGGGTTTGCAAGGGGGCAAAGGGAGTACCAGGAGAAGAGCAGAAAGAATACCACTGGAAGAGCGTAGGAGTACCACCTTAAGGGCCGAGGAAGTACCACTGGAAGGACGAGGGAGTACAGTGGGAAGAGCCACAAGGCCACCATTGGAGGGATCGAGGGGGTGCCATTAGAAAAAAACCGCTGGGACACCACTGAAAGGGCTGAAAGAGTACCAGTGGAAGATCAGAAAAAGTACCACTGGAAGGGCTAGGAAGTACCTACTAACGGACCGACGGAGTACCAATAACAAAGCCGAGGGAATACCATTGAAAGGGCTGAAGGGACACCATTACAAGAGCCAAAGGAGTGCCTCTGCAGAAGGGATACCACTGGAGAGACAATAGTAGTCTCTGCTGTTGGAAGGGCTAAGAAAATACCATATTAGGCCTTAAGACAGATAGAGAGAAGAGAAAGAGACAGACGGAAAAAGAAGAATGGGGATGTGAGAGAGACCTGATGAAAGGCCCAGATTTTGTGCTCTGAAAGTAGCCAAGGGATGGGTGACGATCGTTCAGTTTCCATTATGGTATTATGATAGTCATAGTAGAAATTATAACATTACTGATCGTACAGTAGTAGTAGTAGTAGCTGTAGTAGTAATAGTAGAAGTAGTAGTAGTAGTAATAACTAGCAGTAGTAGTAGTACGTAGTAGCTAGTAGTAATGTAGTAGTAAGTAGTATAGTAAGCGTAGTAGTGAGTAGTAGCATAATTGTAGTAGCAGTAGTAGTAACAGTAGTAAGAGTATTGATAGCAGACGAATAATTACCTCCGCCTAAGTTATGTTTTTGCTTGGTTATTAGTTTGTAGTTCGTTCGTTGGTTAGCAGGATAACTGAAAAAGAATGAAAAGATTTTTTATGAATTTTTTACCAGGTTGTCTTACCCCTTCTTAGATGCCGCTGATTGGCAACAAAGGTAATTATCATAATTATCTTTATTATCATTATTATCATAATTATCATAAATAATATCATATATATATATATAATATATATATATATATATATATATATATATAATATAAATAGCATATATATATATCACACATCACATACCATTATACATATGTTATATATATACATATATATAATGTGTGTTGTGTGTGTGTGTGTGTGTGTGTGTGTTGTGTGTGTGTGGTGTGTGTGTGGTGTGTGTGTGTGTGGTGGTGTTGTGTGTGTGTGTGTGTGTGTGTTGTGTTTGTTGTGTATAATATATGCATATATATGTATATATACATGTAGTATTGTATATAAATATATATATATATATATAATATACACTACA